TATCTATCTAATGTGGTATCTCAGTGTTCTGCTCTGGGCTTTCTGTTTCTCACCCTATATACTCTTCTTTGGCAATCACGTACTTGCATGATTTCACTTGTCATTAGTACGTCAATAACTTGTCTGAATTGGGACCTCCTATTCAGAGATCATCCTTTATTTAGCCCTAGACTTACATTCAACTACCTCTTCAACAGAGTCACAGAATTGCTCAAAGACATCTAAATTTAATAGCCATACACCAAGGGTTTTTTTGGTTTGTTTTTTGTTTTTTGAAATCTTAAGCTTCTCCTTCTACTAGCAGAGAAAATTCATTCTGTTACCTAGGTGCTCACTCACAAACTCTAGGGCCATAATGACCGCTTCTTTCACCCCTACCCCTAACTCTAACAACAAATCACCACTTCCTGTCTGGTACACAGTTGGTACTGCCATAACACTTTCAAAGAACAAATCTGTCCCAATGTAACTGATGTATTAAAGGATAATTTAGCATACTGCCCATTTTGCATGGTTCTGTCATTTTTTCCAGATGATATACTAGATGTGCCAGATATGGCAGTGTATACCTCTAATCCCAGTCCTTGGGAGGTGGAGACAAGGGAATTCATTCCAAGTGCTATGCCAGCCTGGGCTAAATAGTGGGATTCTGACTTACAAAGACAGAGGAGATAAAAGAGGCTGAACTTGGTTGAACAGAGAACTCTGTCAGATCATATAAAATGCATGCATACACATCTACAACACCTAACAGCCACTAAGCTCATCATGTATGTTACAGCCACATCTTTTTGCTTATAATTTCCTATTTGATTTCAGACAGCCCCCTTTCCCCATCACAATAACACACCAACTACGGCCCTTCTTATATCCATTTCTACACGCAAACTTTAGACTGTTTTTATCTCAAGTAAAGTGCTCTACTTATTACGGTATTTATATATTTCTTCATCATTTAACTCGGAGACTATCAGTTCCAGTAGATGTCTATCTTCCTTTGCTATGCTACGATGGAGTTCCTGTGTACTGCACTCCCTAGGTCATCTCTACTGCACGACTCCCCTTCCTTCGTGTAAGAGATTCTGTTGTTTGGTTTCTGAGACTAATCCTCTGCAAGATTAGTCTTTAACTCTGCAGCTCAGGCTGACCTTACATTAAAGGCAATTCTCTTGTCTCAGCCTTCCAAGTGCTGGGATTACAGGCCTGGATGGCCACATCCACCCAGTACAGGGATTTTTAAGAACCTGTATGTTTGTATCATAACAGAATTGACTACACCATTCAACATTTTCCAGCCCATCCCAGTTCTCTACCTTCCACAGCTAGCCATAAAAACCAGGTAACCACATGTTCCACCTGGACTATGGTGATGGTCTTATTTTACAGCTCTCAGGCACCGACAGTGCTTCCCCAGGCACCCTCCATAGGCTACTAAAGAGCTGTGTGTCTGTGCATGCACATACTTGGTTGTACAATCATCAGAAGAGGGTCAAAACTGATATTCAATAAACAGAGGCCTGAGATACCACAAGTTCAGCAATGTTACCTAAACAATGATTTAAATGTCCCACCTACAAACACCAAATCCAACCCTGTTTAGAAAAACCGGTAGCTGATTTCTTGCAGTTCTCTATACAGTGGCCACAGAATCTTTTTTAAAACTCAAATGAGAAGAACATGGTGGCTCATGCCTATAATTCCAACACTGGGACTACTAAGGCAGGAGGACTGTCCAAAGTTCAAGGCCACTTAGGCTACAGCATGAGACTCTGTCTCAACACAAAACAAAAAAGCAAATGAGTGGAATTTTTCTTTTAACACCCTTTTAGTAGCTCCTCTTCATCCTAAAGATAAGGGCCAAAGTCACAACATGGTCCATAAGCCCTGGCCTCGCCTTCCAGCTTCACCTCACGCCCCTTTTCTCTTCTCACATCTCCTATGCTTGGCACTCACTCATTCAGTAAATGCAATTAAGTTTCTCTGTACTGTGATGGGGTAGAACAATGAACAAGAGGCAGAAATTCGCCGGGCGGTGGTGGCGCATGCCTTTAATCCCAGCACTCAGGAGGCAGAGCCAGGCGGATCTCTGTGAGTTTGAGGCCAGCCCTATCTACAGAGTGAGATCCAGGACAGGCACCAAAACTACACAGAGAAACCCTGTCTTGAAAAACAAACAAACAAACAAACAAACAAACAAACAAACAAACGACAAAAATTCTGTCTTCTTAGCTTTTATAACGATGCCAGGCTTCTCCTCACCTCGGGGCTTTACCATACGCTGTTTCCTAAGATTGGCCAATTCCTCCTTCAGACTGTAATTTAGATATCCTTCTTCAGGAAACTATTCTCAGACTCTACCTCAATAAATCTAGTTCTTTATTTTGTGATCCACAACTCTCAATTGTTCTAAACATGTTACTGAACTGAAGAAGAGAAGTGATTTGTTCAACTCTCACCTTTTTCTGTTATGGTCCCAGAACTTAACACAGTACCTGACACAGGAAGGCGGTCCACATGTGCTTATAGATGAGCTGTCTGTCTTTGTGCTTTATGGATCTGTGTCTATACAGACTTCCAAGTATTTCTACAGAAGACTATGTTTATGTGAACACACACACACACACACACACACACACACACACACACACACACACACA